CGGCGTCAGAATGGAAAAATGGTAGAGAAAGGGAGAACGCAGTGTGTGCGTTCCACGTCTCGGGAAATTTCCTTCTCAGGAAATAATGAACAACGAAACTCGACGATGCGTTGCGACGTATCGTTGGGGCGCATTTCTCTCGGCGAATTCAAGCTCGCATAGTACACTTTAATCGTATGGTTAAGGAGATTCGAGCGTTTGACCAAATATAAAATAAACCTGTAATATATACATGATGCAAAAGCTTATTCAACTAACAATGCGTAAATGAAACTTCAATAATCTTTATCGTATCGCTTGCGAGATATTTAATTATAAACTAGTACGTATGCAAGTATATAAAATCTTCATAATAGATCAAATTTCTTTTAATGTGATATATTGTTATAAGATTGAAGTTTAAAAAAACTATTGTAACATTAAAGACTAATATACAGATGTTATAGACAAATTTCAGAATTATTGACTGTTTCGTTTTGAAAAAAATATATAATAGTGTAAAAATTTATAATTTATAGTAATATATGTATATATATACATACACATATAGCACATAAGCATATATATAAACACTTATATACTGAAAAAAAAATTTGGTAATAAGTACTAAAATTTGTCGGCCAAATATTTTATTACTGCAACCAAATAATTGATTTCCATATATTGTATACACATTACTGTAATGCCGTATACTATGTATTTAGTATGGAACTAAATTATGTGGTTGCAATAATCAAATATTTAGTCAGGAAATATTTTATTAAATTTTAGTACTTATTACTAAAACCTTTTGTCACTGTATATTTCTTTCTATCATATATACATCTCTATTAAATTAACTAATGTATAAAAATAGCATTAATAAGGAAAATAAAAAATAATATTTTCGTATTTGTAATATTGTAAATACATATATTTACCTCAGCTGCATTTCAAATTGACATTTATTATTTGATCAGTGAAATAAATGAAAAGAAAAGGAATTTTGCTTGATAAATAATAAATGCATGAGAGGTTCCCTTGATGGGCCACTGGAAATATGGCACCTGGAGCTAGAATCTTCTCAAACTGCATTTTAGGAAAACTTGGAGGAACGATCTCGGAGGATATCGCGAGTCGTAAATTTCGAAGGATATTTATTGAGAGTACACTCGAAAGACGACATTCGCGCGGACCGTTCCTTCGATCGGATTGATTAGCACGCGGAAGCACTAAATCCACAGCAAATCTAATATCTGCGCTCACACACGTCGCACGAGATATGCACGACAAGAGCGCGAATCGTAAAACGTGCGTGTATGAACAACCTTGGGCCCGGCAGTGCGGTGATAGTCATTACTTGAATTCTCGCGCCCTGGTCTACTACGTTTCCTCTTGAAAATGATTTCGCATCGCGTCAGGATCCGCACACGATAGATAAATCGCCAACAGCCTCGGGACATTTTGATCGCCGACGGCTCGTCGGACGTCGGCATGAAAAAGTGCGAAATCCACTTACGATCAACGTACGCCAACCGGAACTCGCGTGAAAAACGACATGGAGCGGGAGACGAGAGCGGCGGCGACGAGAGCGTTACACGAGGAGGGAACCCGCGAGAAAACAAGATCACGTTGAAGAGGGAATTCCCAGACACGGCAGATTTTCGGCGGAGCTCATGAGGGATTTATAAAGTTTCCGCGGCCGGCGCGAAAATTTACTCCGTTACCTGTCCGCGAACTTCTTCTCCCCAAGTCGGCTCTCGCACGCCTGGGAATGAATCGACCGACCTGAGTGGTTTCATAAATCCCGGAGTGTCGCGGAATAACGCCGCCGGGACGTTGACAAATGTAAATAAGATTGAACTCTCTCGCAGCCGCCGCCGCCGGTTTAATACGAAGACAGACGCGAGCTTCGCGGATGTTGAATGCCGGACCAACGTGTTTTCTTCCTGCGGGAACAGAAGGCACGACGACGACAGGTCGTGTTCAGATGATGATGACGGATCGCGCGATTTGGCGATCAGTCGACTGTAATTGACAAGTATTGGCAATCAGGTAACACCGCCGATAGATCAGTCTGAAGTTCACACAGGCACGAATGTCGGGCTCTCTTTCTCTCTTTCCTCCTATATCCGGAATCGAGATCCTCCCGATAAGAAGTTCGCTCGCGCCGAGGAGAAAGATTACTAGGAAAGTGAGTGAGAGAGAAAGAGAGATAGGGGGGGGGG